ACTGAACTTTGAACTAGTTCACGTAGAAAGAGAACTTTCCCAACACTGATCGTTGTCTTTAGAAAGTGTAAATTACCCAGACTCTGGATTGATTTGTATTTCTGCTATAGCATGCCTCCGGCTTCAGGAAGCTTCTCTTGCAAATACCAATGAGGCTCAGTTTAAGAATGAACAGCAGCGCACTCTACTGGATGGTGGTAACACTGCAACACTGAATGAATTCCTTCCAAGCAGGCTGTATTTAATAACATTCCTTTTATCATACATTGAGTATGATGACATCATACATTTCATATAGGTGTGTAATGCTCTCCTAGCAAGCTCACAATCATCTAATGGATCTCCAGACAGGAAAAAATTATTCTAGTCAGTTTCTATTACATTAATAGGTGCATCAACAGCTTGATGCAGTAATCAACACATAAAATATCTGACAATTTACATCTGATGAGGCTATAAATCTGCACCAGCAGTATTGCAATCTGAGTTCTTGATCAGTTCGAGTCAATGAGTCGATGCAATCAACTGGTTTTCCTTAGATAGAAAACTTTTAATTAATTTGACTGTATGATCTGGTGAACTGTAAAGTGCCTTGAGATGACATGTGTTGTGAATTGGCACTAAATAAAAAAGCTGAATTAAATTTAATCAAGCCCTTACAGTAACTCACCATATCTTTGAAGGCGTTTTCTATAGCTCCAATAACCAGGCTCTCTTGTGAAACTTTTTTTTCAGTGAAGAAGCGCGTTGGTTGGGTGCTGGGGGAACCAGGTGCCCCTGCAGCACCGCGTAGTGATGTGGCCCTTGAGAGGGCACGGTGGGATGTTGCGGAGAGGAGGTGATTGACAGGTTCATCATCTAGGCATGTGGGTGGCAGCAGGTTGGGTGCACACAGAATCTCCATCACCTCCTGGAGGTGCAGGGCAATGTGATGATGGAGAAGACGGGACGCCATGACAGCAGCTCCAGAGCCGGCGTGACCGTCAAATAACGCCCAGTAGTGAAAGGTTAGGTCCTCTGAACCATCCTGGATGTAAGGAAATAGAAATATACATTGACAACAGCAATACCTGGGAAGTAAAAAAAAAAGTCACATTTTCAACAAGTTAATTCTGTATTTTTTTTTAAAGCTAATTGGATGTACAGCAATTCTAATTAATCATGGTTGTGGGGTACCAGAGGGTAATAAGAATACCTTTTGAAAAGAAAAACAACAAAACATTTTCAACCCATAAATAGAAATGTGTTCGATTTTTTTTTTATGAAAGAGGGATTTAATCTCAGACTTCCTGGAGAAATTTCTATTAGGATTTCAGAGCATCTTTAAGAATACATACCAATATGAATACATATGAATAAGTAATTCCTGCTATCCTTTTTTGCAGGATTTGTTTTCTTCTTTTAAAGATTGTTTCAGTAGGTTTTTCTAGGCTACATTATTCTGCTACACTTAGTACAGTTTTACTAAAAGGAACACAAAAATTAACACAAAATCAAAATTTCCACCATAAATTTTCCAATAGGGGATGGTCCTTTCACTTAGATGTTACATAAATAGAGTGACACATCACATGCTTTCTAGAATGCAAAGTAAAGCAATTCTGCCTTTTCAACATAAATGGTAAATTGCCTGTACTTATATGGAACTTTTTCAAGTCAAGGGACTTGACCAAAGTGCTTTACACAACTTTCCGTAATTCAACCATTCACACACACTCACACTCACACACCAACGGTGGTAAGCTACATTGTAGCCTCAGCTGCCCTGGGGCTCACTGACAGAAGCGAGGCTGCTGTACAATGGCGGCATCGGGTCCTTTGACCCCCATCAGGGCAAACTCCTTCATCCGACGCCACTGTGGTACCAGTAGGCTGTCGCACACTGCTGTTCAGCTAGCAGAAAAATGTCATTTTGAAAATGGAAATTTAAACGTTATATTGAAAATTTCTTTGAGACACCAAGCTCAATTGTACACATAAAATGTAGACAGATATAAAAGAAAATCAGTCATAGACTATAACAAATACAATACACATCCTTAGAGGAGAATCTTTAAGGAAATAAAACCCCTTCTGTAGAAAAACATTAACAACAAACACCCTTAGAGAAAGTAAGCCAAATCCAAAGAAAATTTTTCAAGTCTAAAAACCATCTGAAGGTAAAAAAAAAAATTACTTTAAGAACACTTTGACTAAACTTTAAAAAACTACTTGAAGCAGAGCATAAAGTTGAGATCTTCAATCCTCCTTTCTTAT